GGTCAGTATCTGATCGAATTAAGAAGTGTGGTGCTCCGAGGAATGATATATTTTAAATATAGTATATGTAAATATAATATATTTAAATATATTCACAAATTATCTATTTCAGAATTCTAACTTTTAAATTACCCCTACAGTGCAAATCTGCTTATGAATTATAAAAATTAATAAGACCGCTAAAGCGCAAACAAAATGTTTAGGTCCGCATTTAGCAGATTTGGGCTTTAGCGGACTGGTGCCCACCGCTGTAATCATAAATGGTAATGGTAAATGGACTGTACTTATGTAGCGCCTTTCTATCTGTCCAGGACACTCAAAGCGCTTTACACTGCAGACATTCACCCATTCACACTCGCATTCACACACTGATGATGGTAAGCTACACTGTAGCCACAGCTTCCCTGGGGCACACTGACAGAGGCAAGGCTTTCACGCACAGGCGCCACCGGACCCTCTGACCACCATCAGAAGGCAAGGCGGGTAATGTGTCTTGCCCAAGGACACAGCGACTGAGTCAACCGGACAGGGGATCGAACCAGCGACCTTCCGGTTCCAGGATGACTCCCCTAACCACTCTACTTCTGTAAGAATTTAATTTGATCATAACCTCATACGAGAGTAGAAATGTAACCGAAATATTAACTTATTTCTGTCCCTAAAGCTTCATGTGAAACAGCTAAGGTGTACTTGAAGGAAAAGATTGAAACCTGAGCATCAGAAACATGTAAAAATGCTTAGATTTTCATCCAGATATGACAAGATGTCTAATCGTGATCTTATCACTCTCTCCCAACATAGATTTCTGCAGCGCTCCAACATCTACAGGCTCCTCTAGAAAAGGATACGCCCCACTCCTCGTGACAGCTTTCAGCTAAAAGGTCAGACTAACTCAGGATTTGTTCAGACAATCCTGCTACAGAGCAGGGTTGGTTCACGGAGTAAGTTGCAGGGATAAGTTAACTCAGGATAACTGCTATCTGGCTTTCTGAAACCAAAATCTCCGGATATGTACAGAGTTACCCCAGAATTTATGCAGGATTTTCACTTATCCTGCTTTCTGAAACGGGGCTCTGGATTTTTGGTTTCTTTGTTTGCTTTTATTAACTCTGAAAAAGGAAAGAGGAAATGTAAATACTAAAAAAATACACTGGTAAATGAAATGTCTATTATAATAATCCTGCCAATAAATATAAAATAAATGAATGGAAACATTCAAAATTTTGCTTAGACAACACCTCCATTTTGTTGACACGGCATGTCAGACTGAGAATTTGATGGCATCAGTATGAACAACTAATGGTAAATCCTCATCCCACATCTTGATTATGAGCTCATGTAGCACACAGATGATTAGCTTAATCAATCTCTTACTTTAGAAACTGTAGTTTTTAACTTTTGTGTAAAAAGTTCACCTATGCAAATAATCATTTTTTGCTACACCATTCTCTCTACCACTATGGAAAAAAACAAAAAAACAAAACACAAACCTGTCAAAGGACACCAGGAAGAAAATAGTAAATCTGGGCATGGCTATATTGGGCAAAACACTGCTTGAAAGGTCACAACTACTAGAGTTAATATTTAGGCAGTAAAATAATTAAACAGTGTGTTTGAAGGATGCTTAAGGCTGGTTTATACTTATTGTTGCACGTCTTTTACCCCCCACTGAGTGAAAAAATGTTGCGCAAATTCCGTCTGCACTCCTGCTGCGATCCCCCGGTAACAGCTGTCCTATACATTAACCCCCAGTCAGCACTTCGAGACGCGGAGGATGCGGCATGGAGTGTGTGATTGGTTCAAAGTTTGTGTGTTGTGTGACACCGCTACCCACTGATCGCTTCCAGAGGCTGGTTTTTGTTTCTAAACATGGATAGTTTTGAAGAGAAACTCATCGAGGCGGAGGCGGTCCGAGGTACAACATCTGTGATTGCGTCGCTGCGTGTTGAAGGTGAGGGGAGATCCAGTGGGACAAAAAAAAGATCTGGTGGGCAAGTTCGTCGAAACGAGCAGCGGACATTTGAAAATAGGAGAAGTGTTTTTCGTCATCCATCTCCCGCATCTGTTGAACCAACAAGCTAAACTTGCAACTAGCAGTTTTTTTTTGCAACTAGCAGTTGTTTACATGCTAAGCTATGCGCGTGACATATGCGGTGGGAGGGCAGAGGGAGGGACTACTATAATGTATCCCCCACGACTTTTCCCAGCATAAACACTCATGCTGTCTGTGACACACATGCAATTACATCATCGCTGGGCCGCAGCCGCACGTCTTGCATGAAGCATAAACAAACCTTTAGTTTGGAGTCCCATGCAAGCTATTCGTTTAAAAGATAAGGTTATTCATGAGCAGGCTGACTGATCAGCACATCAAAACTGGTGGAACTTGCTAATGATCTGAGCTCTGTAAACAAACAAGCCGGCTGATGAGACGTCACGTCTTTTACTGCACATGTGTGTCACATCAGTGCTGTGTAGCGTTCACACAGGGGTCTGATGGAGGTCACATTTAAAATGTAATGTGAACGTTCACACAAAAAGATCAGATTTTTTCAAAAAATCGGAACTGAGCGTTAAGACCTGCAGTGTGAACGTAGCCAAAGTCGCAGTGGAAACGGTAGATAGCACACTTTTCTGAAATAAAAAGGATTTCTTTGTTATCAGTCGCAAGGTACCCCCAACTCAAGAATACATGTATTTATTTTGCCAGTGAAGTGGACAAGATGAAACTTTGCAGGCTATGTAAAAATTTTATTTAATCAAACACACAAATATTCAAATACAATTGAAGACAAAATGTTGATAAACTAACTCATTTTAAATAGTTTATTTTACAATAAGACAGATAGAACTGTGAGCCGCCAAAACATGAATGATAACTGAGGTGAAAAATTATTACATTTCTTGACAAAAAAATTGAAAAAGCCAAAACCTAAAAATAAAGCTTTTCTTCTTACTTTGCAAACAGCGTTGTTTTCTGTTCTCATATATCTTTTGGTGTGCCTTTTTTCCCCATCACGTGTTTTTTAGTATTTCTTTCAGGATAAATCAACATGATGTAACACTTGGGGATGAAGATACAAATCAGCAGTCCAAAACTAGAAGCAAGAATGGCAAATATTTCTACAGCAACACTAAATTTTCCAGGAGAACTTATATACGCTGGGATAAAAGTGATCCATACTGCACAGAATATCAGCATGCTGAATGTGATAAATTTTGCTTCGTTGAAATTATCAGGCAGTTTTCGAGCAAGAAACGCAATAACAAAACACAACATAGCAAGAAGACCAATGTACCCAAGGACAGTCCAGAAACCTACAGCTGAACCCAGAGCACACTCCAAGATGATTTTATCTTTAAAACCTTTAAAATTTTTAGATGGAAAAGGAGGAGAAATTGTCAGCCAGAGAATACAGATGATGACTTGTATTAATGTAAAACCCAGAACACTGAGTCTCTGCTGGGTAGGCCCAAATAGTTTCATCACATTACTGCCTGGAAGTGTGGCTTTAAACGCCATTAAAACAACTATTGTTTTACCCAGAACACAGGAGATACAGAGGACGAAGGTGATACCAAAAGCYGTGTGACGGAGCATACAGGACCACTCAGAGGGACGTCCAATGAAGGTCAGAGAGCAGAGAAAACACAGAGTCAAGGAGAAAAGCAGCAGGAAGCTCAGCTCAGAGTTGTTTGCTCTGACAAGAGGAGTTGTCCTGTGTCTGAAGAAAATGACAGCTACAGCAGCCGTCATACATGTTCCAAATAAAGAAGCAGTGGTGAGCAGTATTCCCATGATTTCTTCATATGTCAGAAACTCAGTCTTTTTCAATAAACAGGCATCCCTTTCCTCATTTGACCAGAATTCAGGGGGGCATTTTTCACAGGTGACAGAATCTGCAAATGATGAACAAAGTTAAAATTTATCCCAACAGATACAAATACCAGATGAATAATAGTAAACCGCGTCGCTCATCTTCAGTTGTTTTTGAGCTGTTGTGAAAAAATGTAATAAATAAGAAATATGTGCAATCAATAAAGGTTTTTAACAATAGTATTTAAAAGGGTTGTATCATGTTAAATCAACTTGTTGGGCTTTATATTATGTTGTACTGTTATCCTCTCATTAAAACGATGATCAGTGTTGCTTTGACTCATTCATGCATGTTAGTAAAATTCTGTAATGTCCTGTGGCAGCCATTCGGGAGAACAAAAACAGCATATTGGACCTAGAACCTCCTTCTAGGTGCAGCTCCTCCTCTGGGCTGTTTCTCCAAGCCGAGATACCGCATACCAGCATGCCTCCCCTATGACTCCTGCAGTCTATCCACAAGTCCAGTTTTTTTTTGATTAAAAAATGCTTTTGAGGAAATGTATTTTCCGAGGCCAAGAAGACTACAAGGGAATTTACCAGTGGACTAATAAGATTACCACTAAAAGAGGATGTAATTCCAACACAAAAGAACAAAAACACTATTGTTGTCTGCCCAGGTAAGCTTAAAAACAAGTCATGTTGGTTTGTTCAGTTGTTTGGTCTATGTGTGATTTACAGTTAGCATTCGTAACTTATATCACAATCTGTGTTCATCAGTTGGCTTACAACAAATGTCAGTAATAAATAAATTAGCTTAACCTTAACGTGTGTGTATGTGAGGATGACTCGAACATATTTTACCAAACTAAAATATTGCCACGGTATTCGCTCCGGTTCTTCAGAAAACATACTTCCCAACGTGGGATCATTCAGCTAAGGTTCAATTGTATGCTGATTTGCTATTTTCTAAAATAAAATGCAAGTACAACACAACAAAGTACAATGCTCCTAAGATCGGATCTAAACGTCATGAAGCATTGTTGTGATGACGTGCAGAAATGGGCATGACAAAATCGGTAGGAGGTTCTTAAAGAGACAGAGGCCAATTTTAAGGCATTTAGAAACGGCTATAATGCAAAATCAAATTAATTATTTGATTTGTACAAATTCACAGGATTATTATAACAACTGAAGGCGACAGTTACTTTATTTTGGTATAGAATTGACCTATATGCCTGAAAAAACACAATACTGGCCCTTTAAAGTTGTTGTATTTTGCAGTTGCAAAGGGCTCATAGATTGTACACAAAAAAGTATTTCTCTCTCAGTTTTAGACTATGAGCTGGGTATTCAAGGGGGTTGGAATTTTCACAATACATTCTTGTGTTACTGTGTATGAGCAGTTTCTCAGCCTTCAGCATGAGGGGAATAATATTCTTATAATCACGAGAAGCATGCTTTTCTGTTTAGTAGAAACATATTTTACTCTCTAGTCTGAATGTCTGCAATGAATGATGTGATATTTATCGTGAGAAATAAATTTTCCATTTCAGAAGCAAAGCAGTTCTGACACAAAAACTGCTGAAAATATTTAGACATTTTAAAAGGTAAAACAACTTTTTTATTTGCTCTTTAATTTTGTGTTTATCTCTGACATAAAGTAATGGAACTTTATATATAGACCATTATTGATTCATGTTAGCAATAAAACCATTAAACATCTAAGTATGTGAATCATTTCTGCAGGTTATATTTTTGGCAGTACATCATCACCTTAAGAAACAACTAATTAAAATAAAACATAAAATATATAGAAAACACCGAACTACAAATCACAAGAAAAACACAAACAAAATATTACTTAAATTCTATTTACCAATACATTTCAGTTTTTCTCTTTAATATTTGTATGAACTTTCCTTCATTTTTCTAGTTAGCAGAACTTGAAAAGCTTTAAGTAAACATTAACTGACCTGTAATGTTGCTTATTTCTCCCTCTGCACATTTTTTACAGTCATGACAGCAAACAGGTTTTCCTTTCTGGAGAACTTTGCATGTTCCTGGAGGGCAGTTCTCACTGCAAACAGACACAGGAACCTGCAAAAACAAAACAGCATGAAGAAAAAGTATTTGTTACCCTAAAGCTCATTTCACCTATTCATCTGGTTTCATTACCCACATTTCCTTTTTGGATTGTGGGGGATCTGGTGCCTATCGCCAGCAGTCATGTGAAAAAGGTGTACAAAGGCATCTATCTAAAAGCGTACACCCTGGAAAGGTCATAAGTCCATCACAATATAAAGATACCAATTAACCTAGCATGCATGATTTCGGTCTGTGGCAGAAATTCGATGTACCTGGAAAAACGTGCAGAGGGGGGACATTCAAACTATAGTAGAAATCCTAGGCCGTGAGGCAATTCTTTATGTAAGGAGACATCTGTACTGCTCTGCTGTCCATATTGTCAATTAAATTAAAAATGAATTTTTAGCAATAAAAACGTGATCATATCATTGTCAGTAAATTATACCTGGTTTAAGCTCTTTGACCAGTGGAGAGTCTTATTTTGCAGATTTAACTGTTTCTCTTCGGGCAATGACGCATCGTAAAGACCCACAGAGACAAAGTCCACAATGCCATTTTCTTTTAGCTGCCAGTTTATAATCTCATACTTTGCTGCTGGATCTCCATTTTTATTAAAATAAATGTCCTCTCCATCTTTTGTCTTGAAGTGAACCTTTTGAATGTGCTGCAAAATCTTAAACAATATGATTTAGTAATATCATCATATTGTACAATTCAGACATTTAATACAGTTTTACATTGAAAAATACATGTTTTTCTTTGTTAGTTTCTGATATATTAAACTTACTGTGAATGGTTCAGGCTGCACACTCTTGTTGCATGTTTTATTACACTCAAAAATATCATGTAGAGCATGAGCTACTGCATGAACTGCTTTATAAATATTGTTAAAAATAGGCATGAGGGACATGTCAGTGAAGCTGTTTTCTACTGCAGTCAGATCCTCATGTCCACTACATTCTTTCAGAATCTCCTCTGACCGTGACTTCTTGAACTTACAGCTGAATAATGCCTCCCACAATTCAGTAAATAAGTTATTATTTGATGAATTCAGTGGCTTCACATCCAGCATGAACTCTTTCAGACCACTGACATGTGCTTTAGGGATAAAAAGTCCTATAGCTCCGTTCAGGATGTGATGCTTATCCATTGCTGCAATTTGAGAATCAAAGATCCACGACTCACTGCCAACCCACTGATACCCTGTTAAGTTATGAAGGTACAACTCATGTAAAATAATCTCCATTTCTTTAGGAGTTAGAAAACCAACAATCACTTTTGAGGTTGAAGTCTTGATAATGTCAATTATCTTTTGCAATTTTTCAGATGAATCTGTTCTAAAGAAAGAAACAGAATATTCCAGACAGATGCCCAGCTGCTCTGCAGTTTCTTTGAACGTTGCCATGCCATTGTTGCCATAATCATCATTGGTTCTAACAGCTCCAACCCAAGTCCATCCAAAATGTTTGACCAAGTGAGCCAGAGCTCTGCTCTGATAGTAGTCACTGGGTATGGTTCTGAGAAAGGATGGGTACCTTATTTTCTCACTTAAACAAGCACATGTAGCAAAGTGGCTGATCTAGAAATGTGTTTAAACTATATTAGAACATATGGGTGTAAAATACTAAATTATGCAATGCATGTATTTATTAAATTTTTCAAAAGCATAGTTTTTAGGTTTAACCAAGTCTACTTACCAAAGGGATATGAAATGGTCCTAGAACAGTTGCTATTGCCATGCTAGAAGAAGAAGCAGTTGGCCCCACTATGACTTGCACCTTTATAGGTCTGGTACATGACTCCTCAAATACTGAAGATGCAGTCTCATGGCCACTGTTCAATGCAAGTGCAACCTGTATGTCTCTGACAATGAAACTACAGGTATCATACATATTATATCCCAAAGAAATGCCTGGAAGTAGGTCTGTACTGTTATTGATTTCTTCAATAGCAAAACGCATGGCTTGAAGAAATTGAAACTCTCTGAAATTTAAACTTAATTCAAACAAACATAGAAAGAAATGTATTGTTCATAAAAATAAGCAGTTGCCTTTATGACAATTATACACAAACGTAAGGCAAGATAAACTCCATGTGTCTATTTTATATCTTACTTGGTGCATTCCAGTGGTAGAGGCTTTTGTGTATAATTGTTCTCTCTGTTCTTCCAGTTGTTGTGAAAGTAGAATATCCCTCCCAACAAAATGTCTCCATCTTTAAACAGAAGAGGGATCTCAGGCTCTCCCATCCGTCTGCACAAAAAAGATTCCTTAGACTGTGATAAAAAGACCAAAAAAATTAGCTGTAAATGTCGACAAGCACAGTCTGGCTTCGTTAAAGTGCACATCATTTTTTGTAATCACTGTTGCATTTCAAGGACATTAAAACTAATTAAGAGACTTGACCTGGTATTTGTGAATTTGCAATCTGTTGGTACACCAATAATGCATGATATAGTTGTGTTTATGGAAGCTAGAGGTGGGGCAGGAGGAGGGACATGTTGACAGACTTGTTTTGAGTGTGTGTATGCAAAGAGCATTTGCTCATGTGGAATGAAACATACACTGGAATTTTTTTTTTTGTTTTGTTTTATATTTTATGAGGGTTTAAGGAGATTTGCCAATGTTTTATTTTTTCCAGTACTCTGTGTGAGTGGATATACACTCACCGGCCACTTTATTAGGTACACCACGCTAGTAGCGGGTTGGACCCCCTTTTGCCTTCAGAACTGCCTCAATTCTTAGTGGCATAGATTCAACAAGGTGCTGGAAGCATTCCTCAGAGATTTTGGTCCATATTGACATGATGGCATCACACAGTTGCCGCAGATTTGTCGGCTGCACATCCATGATGCGAATCTCCCGTTCCACCACATCCCAAAGATGCTCTATTGGATTGAGATCTGGTGACTGTGGAGGCCATTTAAGTACAGTGAACTCATTGTCATGTTCAAGAAACCAGTCTGAGATGATTCCAGCTTTATGACATGGCGCATTATCCTGCTGAAAGTAGCCATCAGAYGTTGGGTACATTGTGGTCATAAAGGGATGGACATGGTCAGCAACAATACTCAGGTAGGCTGTGGTGTTGCAACGATGCTCAATTGGTACCAAGGGGCCCAAAGAGTGCCAAGAAAAGATTCCCCACACCATGACACCACCACCACCAGCCTGAACCATTGATACAAGGCAGGATGGATCCATGCTTTCATGTTGTTGACGCCAAATTCTGACCCTACCATCCGAATGTCGCAGCAGAAATCGAGACTCATCAGACCAGGCAACGTTTTTCCAATCTTCTCTTGTCCAATTTCGATGAGCTTGTGACCCTGACATGCACACCCCCACCCTCAAATGTGCTGTTGATGTGTGGTGTTCTATAATGTAATTAAAAGGGGAAAGAAGAAGGAACAGAGGCCAGCATGAAGCCGGTTTTTCCCTCCACCCCGACTCTACCCCAGGAGCCCTAGATGTCTAACTGCAACCACTGGGAGTGGGCACAGGCGGCGGGAGTGGTGTCATCCCGCCACCCATGGCCCTAAGCCCACCCCCAAGTCCCTATATGTGAATGTCATGATGGTGTTCGGATGAATGTCTAAGGTGTACAATAAAATTGGGTCCCAGGTGGATTTGCACAATAAAGACATTAAATTGTTGCTCACAGCCCTCCGAGACCCAAATACCCTACGTGAGTGGAACTGGAAATGAGGAGGGTGGAGGTGTGCGGTGCGGGACGGGGAGAAAAATGACTGCAGGAGCAAATGCTCCTGCAGGGAGGCAGCTCCCCCGCTGACCCCAATAGGCCCCCCGGTCCCTCGAGGTCCATCCCGGGTGCGAGGTGCCTCTCCATCAAGGCAGACTGCCAGGCCCATGGGACCAAGACCAGGGAAGTACAGAGCCTAGTGGACCGCCAGAACTAGAACCAACAGTCCACAAACCCCAGAGCAGCCCAGCCCCCCACGACCCAGCCCCCAGGCCCCGCAGTCAGCACACCACCACTGAGGACGCCAAGCCCAGCAGGACAAGACGGCCGAGGGCACCCACCCAACCGCCGACAAAGCCAGGGAGAAACCCGAGTCCCCTCCCCTGACAGGAAAGGAGCCAACCACCTGACCACACATGGCCCAGTGCCATCACCAAGGGCCATCCACCCAGTCCCACCCCAGAAGACATACTACACCCATCCCACATTCGGACACCTCTCAGAACACATAGCACACTAGATACCCAGGCCGGGTCAACCTAGCCCCATCTACGGACCTCGGCCGCGCCCCCCAGGCACCCAGTCCCCACCCCAGAATACATACTACACCCATCCCACATTCGGACACCTCTCAGAACACATAGCACACTAGACACCCAGGCCGGGTCAACCTACCCCCATCTGTGGGCCTCAGCCGTGCCCCCCAGGCACCCCGCCCCCCAGCCCGCCTGTCTCCCAACCAGCCAGCACACCGAAGGCCCCACCACCCAGAGCCAGACACCAGAGCGCAAGCCGGCCCAGGGCCCAGCAACCCACCCACCAGGGCCCGAGTCCC